AGCTACCCGCAATGGTTCCGCAGGACATGGCAACGGCTCTACCGGGGCAGCCAAAGGGAACAGGAGGAGCAAATATCGCCATGTCGCAGCTTATCATTCGCAGCTGCGGCATTCGAGCCTCAGTCGAGAGACCAGTGTGGTCCCAAGCTTTCTTGGATTCCGGAATCTCATGGTGATTGTCTTAGGTGACTATTGCGCCCGCATCGCCTTTTCACATGCTTGGTGCTAACATAGTTCCACACGTTTAGTGGCGATGAATCTTCGCCTGATAATTGAGAATTTCATGAAAGTAAGCTTATATGGTATACTTTGAAAGCAGCGTACTCCTGGTATTCTAACAAATATCTTCTTGCAGTATGGTGTCCTTATCTGTATCAAATGCCACGACTATCGGAAGCAGGATGTCGTTCTTGGGTCGATCCTCTTTGCCCTTGTTCCATGCCACCTCTTCCTTGCGTATATCATTGAATTGGCTGCAGCTCGGCAGTCCAAGCAGACTGTCGGTCGACAGAAAAAGGATCTATCGGCGGAGGAGAGGGAGCGCGAACAGCAGGCCTTCCGGTCAACCTGGCGGTATACGGCCTTCTTCCATACCGTAAACGCTACCCTGTGTCTCGCCGTGACCAGCTTCGTTGTTTATTTCTATATCAATCATCCCGGAATCGGTACACTTTGTGAACTCCACGCAATCATTGTGTGGCTCAAAAATTGCTCCTATGCATTTACGAATCGCGATCTACGGCAGGCAATGCTCAACCCCTCTGCGGAGTCTGCTCTCCCAGAGATCTATTCCACATGCCCATATCCAAGAAATATCACGCTTGGGAATCTTACATATTTTTGGCTAGCACCTACACTTGTATATCAACCTGTTTATCCTCGATCGTCGCATATTCGATGGTCTTTTGTTGCCAAACGGCTTACCGAGTTTTTTGGGTTAGCTGTTTTCATATGGCTCCTCTCCGCTCAGTATGCAGCTCCGGTCTTGCGAAATTCCATTGACAAGATCGCTGTGATGGATATTGCGTCAATCCTGGAGCGCGTCATGAAACTGTCCACAATTTCTCTTATCATTTGGCTCGCCGGATTCTTTGCGCTCTTCCAGTCGCTGCTGAATGCTTTGGCGGAGGTCATGCGGTTCGGAGATCGTGAGTTCTACACAGATTGGTGGAACAGCCCGAGTCTCGGCGCATACTGGCGGTCATGGAACCGGCCAGTGTACCTCTTCATGAAGAGGCATGTCTTCTCGCCGCTGGTAGGAAGAGGCTGGAGCCCTCTTGCGGCGAGCTTCATGGTATTTACCCTCTCTGCAATCCTGCATGAGATGTTGGTGGGGATTCCCACCCATAATTTGATCGGTAAGAACTTGATTCTGCTCGTAAAGGATAAAAATGGGATCACTGACGTTCATATAGGTGTTGCATTTGCGGGGATGATGTTCCAGCTACCATTGATTGCTGTGACAGCTCCCTTTGAAAAGGTGAATGATGCCTTGGGCAAGATTGTAGGGAACTCGATCTTCTGGGTAAGCTTCTGCCTCGTTGGTCAACCGCTGGGTGCGCTCTTGTATTTCTTCGCATGGCAGGCGAAGTACGGAAGTGTCAGCAAGATGCGCGTTTAGATTTGGAGCCACCACTATATCATATATCTGAGATGTAAAAAATCGCCAGTTGCTCTGTTCTTTGAGATGCTCGATCGAGATAGTGAGTCAGAAGAAACCGCAATCTTGAGGCAGCGTTCGGAACATTTGGATTGCTTGCATATTGAAACGGATAAAACAGCCCCTGGCTTGGCTGCAGGGCGGATGCGGCCATTCGGATACATCAACGTATCCGAATGGACAACAGTTCCCCCGTGTTCCGGGGAACCTGACGTCAGGACAGAACAATATAAAAGCGACGACTGGGACAGATTTTAGTTTCTCTATTATTTAAGCTGCTCAATCATAGCTACAATAATATTTTTGTTCTAGTTATCGCAGGTTATCCTGTCATTCATCTCTGTCGAAATGGTTGCTATCGTTGTACCAGAAAACTACGGGTATGTCCTCCTGCTCTGTGTTTGAATCACAAAAGCAATTGATAATATGAAGCTCATTGAAATGCCAGTGCCGTCGTTGCTGTCGCCCTGGGAGCTATTCCGGTGCTTAGCTTCATTCATGGAGCTATCGTGTCCAGTCTTCGGAAGGACGCCAAGGTCCCCTATCCTCACACCTATGCGACCGTTGAGCAATGCAAGTCAAATGTGCGCATACCTTGAACTTGATTGTTTACGCCGCTATGTAATGATTATGAATGCTGAATTTGTGATGCAGGCCAAAGCCGAGCAATTCAACTGCGCCCAGCGAGCCCACGCTAACTACCTCGAGAATGCGCCTCAAACAATGCTCTTTACTCTCTTCGCGGGTCTGAAATACCCTCACCTGGCAACAGCAATTGGCGCTTCGTGGCTGTTTTTCCGAACGCTCTACTTGTATGGTTATGTGTACTCGGGTAAGCCACAAGGCAAGGGAAGGATGCTGGGAGGTGGCTTCTGGCTTTCTCAAGGCGCACTGTGGGCTTTGAGTGTGTTTGGTGTTGCGAAGGATATGATCTCTTTCTGAATTTGAGTGTCATTCTGCGTCTCACAAAATATGTTATATATAAATGTACGTTAAGCTTCCATAGGAATTAGGGACACTACCAGTAATTGACCGACGTGTTATCTTCTACGGTTCTACCCCAATCTTCTAGCTGTACAGAGTAAGGTAGGTAGCTTAGCTGTGGCTGACCCACAGTCGGAGACGGAGGAATACAGCACCGACATGGCCTGTGCGTAATGGCCTCCGTCCAGATTGATACGCAATTTTTACGTGGGAAAAGATCTAGATAGAGTACGACTCTAAATATAGTCCCCAAGCGGCTTCCTTTATTGATTGGGCTGTGTTAACCTCAATTGGTTAACCATACCACATTGCTCAGCTTCATCGGCTCATCGATCACCGTCATACCCCACATATACCCCTCCATCGCCCCCGATGTCTTCCAAGTCGCAATTGACTTATGCTGCCCGAGCCAGCAAGCACCCCAATCCTCTGGCGAAGAGACTCTTTGAGATTGCCGAAGCAAAGAAGACAAACGTCACCGTCTCTGCTGATGTGACGACTACCAGAGAACTCCTGGACCTCGCCGATCGTACGGAAGCCGTTGGCTCCAATACACGTTCTGTCGAGCAATGGACTAATCAAATTTTGAGGATACAGATCTCGGTCCTTACATCGCCGTCATCAAGACACACATCGATATCCTCACAGATTTCAGCATCGACACTATCAATGGCCTGAATGTGCTGGCGGAGAAGCACAACTTTTTGATCTTCGAGGACCGCAAATTCATCGATATCGGCAACACCGTCCAGAAGCAATACCACGGCGGTGCTCTGAGGATCTCCGAATGGGCCCACATTATCAACTGCAGCGTTCTCCCCGGCGAGGGCATCGTCGAGGCTCTGGCCCAGACCGCATCCGCGCAAGACTTCCCCTACGGCCCTGAGAGAGGACTCTTGATCCTCGCAGAGATGACCTCCAAGGGATCGCTGGCGACGGGCGAATATACCAAGGCGTCAGTTGACTACGCTCGCAAATACAAGAACTTCGTGATGGGTTTCGTGTCGACGCGGGCCCTGACCGAGATCCAGTCTGATGTGTCCTCGGCCTCGGACGATGAAGATTTCGTGGTCTTCACGACGGGTGTGAACCTCTCTTCCAAGGGAGATAAGCTTGGACAGCAATACCAGACTCCTGCATCGGCCATTGGACGAGGCRCTGACTTTATCATCGCCGGTCGAGGCATCTATGCTGCTCCCGACCCGGTTGAGGCGGCACGGCGGTACCAGAAAGAGGGTTGGGAAGCTTATATGGCCAGAGTTGGGGGCAAGTCATGAATTTCTTGGAGCAAAAGTATAGTACCAGGACGAGTCATTTAGAGGAAGGCTACATCCAAGGTGCCTGCCATGAAACGATTAGCTCCTTCACATTGGCCCTTGTAATGCCATCTTTTCCACCGCCAATGGTCAAGGTTTTCCTTTTGCTAAGATAAATTCCTGGTGGCCATCTGGTTAGCGAGACAAGCTTCGCCAGAGACGCCAAGGCTTTATCTATGTAGCTGATAAGCAAAGTGGGCTGATAGCTTAATACGGAAGGTCCGTTGACAAGTCAACCAGTGCTGAAGAGATAACAGCTTTGCATCATGCATCGATGTCTCTTTTCAGACACAACGAGTACTCCAAGACATCGATTGGACATAGGTCTGGTGCCGACGATACGTCGGCAGAGACAGCCCAGGCAGCAAATTGACGCCTCTTTGGTGATCGACAGTCCAGGATTAACTCCTCCCAGTCTCCCAGCTCACGGTGTTACGGTGGCGCGCTATGGCTTTCCTGAACGGTCAAGCTCCGCTCACTAGACAGTGGAGAAGGAAGGGGAATCCGATAGGGAATAATATCTAGATAGAGGAGTACTCCAACCAAATTACCAAAGATACGCTGATCAACGCCCTGGCATTGTTAGTATACCCCAACCTCGTTTAAGTATCCTCTTCTTTCATCCATCTTTATCATGATTTGTCTAAGTGCATCCCTAGATCCAGTCGATTATTTCGATAAATGGATAAGTGCACTCCACAATGTCTGATTGGCTCTTCGCCTGTTCTCCTCAGTTCCCTCATTCTCCCCACGTTACATTGACAACGGAATAGCCTGTGGTCCTGTCCGATAAGCTTGCTCTGTCGCCTCCACTACGTCAAGTGGCTCTACCCCAGATATCTCCTACTTATCGCTGGTCGCTTTGTCATGCTAGTACAGATCACATCGGCAATTCAGATAACAGATGGTGGCCATCGTCTTCCCGACAGATGAGGGGAAGGATATGAATATACACCAAGTCTTCCTACTTTCTTCTGGCCTTGATTTTATCTTCCAACTTCTCATTTCCCTTCCAAAGTGCGAAACGCCTCATTTTCAAAATGGCCGAGGAAAAGGCTCCCCAACCCACCATGGATCCGAAGTTGGAGAAGCACGCCCATGATGCGGATGAGGCGATGAAGGCCTTTGAGGGTATAGAGGGCGAGGTTATTACCATCGATGAAGAAACGAACAAAAGACTTTTGAAAATTATTGACTGGCATATGATGCCGATCATGTGCTTTGTGTATGGGATGAACTACTTGGATAGTATGGGCCCACGGATTATTCTCGAACGGCATAGCAAGCACTAACGGCTGTTAGAAACTACCTTGTCGTATGCTAGTGTAATGGGAATCAAGAAGGATATCAATCTGAAGGGCGATGATTATCAATGGTTGGGGAGTTTATTCTACTTTGGTGCGTACGTCCAATATAGCAGTGATTTGTCTCTGACAATTACAGGCTACTTGGCATGGGAGTATCCGACCAGTCGACTTCTCCAGCGTCTACCCCTAGGCAAATACTCTGCAGCCTGTATCATCATCTGGGGCACCATCTTGTCCTGCTTTGCTGCTGTCAGCAACTTCTCGGGGGCTATCGCAATTCGGTACGGACAGAGTCATATTTCCTCATCAGCGACAAATGCTGACTGTATAGGTTTTTCCCTGGGTGTTTTTGAAGCTTCCGTCACCCCCGGCTTTGCTCTGCTGACTTCTCAGGTAAGATATCCACTTTCAGCCTGCTGAGATAATTCCATTCTAATACTGTGCTGCAGTGGTACACCAAGCAAGAACAGAACAGCCGAGTCAATATATGGTTCAGCTTCAACGGCTGGGGCCAGATTCTCGGCGGCCTGGTGGCATACGGCATCGCAGTTGGTACGGCGAAGCATGGTTCGGCCGTCGAGCCATGGAAGATTGTGTTCCTGTTCACCGGGCTGCTCACGGTGGCCTTGGGAATAATCTTCTTGTGGGTCGTTCCTGACAGCCAGCTCAATGCCCGCTGGCTGAAGAAAGAAGACCGGATCCTGGCCGTGGCGCGTGTCAAGGTCAACCAGCAAGGTATCGGCAATAAGCATTTCAAGCTTTACCAGGTGAAGGAGGCACTCCTGGACCCGATGACCTGGGCTTTTTTCTTCTACGCACTCATTGCAGATATCCCAAACGGTGGAATTACTAACTTCTTCAGTCAGATGGTGAGTTGTCGCATCTTGATACTTTGTTCCTCTTCTGACTATCGTTAGATTTCCAGCTTCGGTTATACTGCCGAGCAAAGTCTCTTGTACGGTACCCCAGGCGGCGCCGTCGAGGTGATCGCACTTCTTTTGAACGGATATGTGGGCCAGATCACCGGACAACGCATCCTCTGCAGTACCGGCGGTCTTATCACCTCGATCATTGGAATGGTCCTCATCGTTGCCCTGCCGTTATCGAACAACGTCGGCCGTCTGATCGGCTACTACATGACCCAAGCAAGCCCGACGCCATTCGTGGCGCTCCTGTCTCTAGTGTCTTCCAACGTCGCCGGCTACACCAAGAAGACAACCGTGGCTGCGCTGTACCTGATCGGTTACTGTGCGGGAAACATTATTGGTAGGACATCTTCATTTTAATTGCAAAGAATGGTACTAAAGCATGGATAGGCCCTCAGGTCTTCCGCCCCAAGGACGCACCCCGGTACATGCCTGCTGAGATCACCATTATCGTCTGCTGGGGCGTTTGCCTGCTGCTGCTTGTCTTTATCTGGTGGTGGTACAACAAGGAGAACAAGCGGAAGGCTCTCATCCGGGCGTCGCCGGACTATGTGAGTCTAGAGAATCAAGCGTGAGTTCGTCATTGCCTGTTTTTCTGCGATGCGTTCACTGACATTGATCGAATTCAGGTTCCTTGATTTGACGGACGGAGAGAACCATGAGTTTGTTTATGCGTTGTAGCTCTATCTATCCTAGTTGTGAATTTGTCGACATATATATTCCATGATTTCGTCTGGAAGGTCAATGTTATGTTTTTATATGGCGGCGTCGGTCGCGTTGGCAACAACAAATTATAGTTCTCAGAGCCTTTAGTCTGGGTGTAGATTGTAGCCAGTCCCATTATACAGATACCAACCAGACAACAACGCATCACTCGTACAAAGCTCAAGCCCAGTCCTCTGCTCCGCAGCGTTGTAGACCATCCAAAAGGAACACCTTGATGAGCTTCCTCACAACATATATATACGAGAAGTGAATTCGTACCGCACACACCTCTGTTGTTCTCTATATGAGTTAGTATCGAGCATCTACAAGAGCAGCAAAGCAAGTAAGCAAGCATACCTCATTGATTCATCCTTCAAAGACCGAATGTCATACCTGTGGCTCATCACCGGAAGAAGGGTTGCTTGTCTCCAGGCATAGATATACGGAAGTTAGATACAACAGATGCTGTACACTTGAAGCCTATATCCGTCAGTATCATTCGCAGATATCTACCTATACGTACATGGTAAGTAAGCATACCTCGTTCACTAACACCAATGTCCTTCAGGACATGGACAAGGACGAGGCCAAGTAGAAAGGTATCTATCTAAATCGTCAGCTAATCCATCGCACAGCACACAGCACACAAAGACTCGAGACGCAAAACTTACTTTTGAATCAAAGGTAAAGAGACTCGTTACCAGAGCGCACACAACGCATCTGATAACCCAGGCCCGTTCCCAACCACCCAACCAAGGGCCCGTTTATGTCGCTAGGGTAGAGGCATATTCGGTTTGGTATGCCCTGGTTAGTATTTTTGGTTTTGTCTATCTGTCTGTCTGTTTGTTTTTTCTTTTGGATTTTTCTTTTGGGATTTGGTTGTTGATTGGTGAGTGTTGGTGTTTGGGTCGGGGATGGGAAGACGGGTAGGGAAGGAAGGGTGATGGGGAAGTACAGGGAGGCAGGTGCTGAGCAGGGCGACGAGAAGGGAAAAGTGGAGTGTAGATATTGCAATAGATGTTGTACGAAAAGGCAGAAGGGGGAAGCAGACAGGGAAAGGTCGACTCGAGTTTCCACCAGAGGCAGTCGCTCAGAGTCAGAGATGGAGAGAGAGTTGTAAGAAGAAAGAAGGAAAGAGTAAGAAGACCTAGGAAAGAATGGGCTTTTATACTTGTGGTTTCCTCGCTAAACAGCTAGTAGGTCTCAAGCGAGATACCGTCGATATTCGTCATTCACTGTCATTGACTGAAGGGTGAAGTGATTGGAGTTTGCTGGAGTTGCTACCAGGACAGAGCACAAAAATGAGTCAAGACTGAGTCTGGTTCTGGTTCAGTAAGACAATGGGCTTTGTTTGCAGCAGCAGGAGAGATACAGTCTTGTTTCCATGGTTGATGGGTTTGAGATGACTCTTTTGCTGGGGAAACTGGCGCATGCCGTCTACGTTGTTCCTGTAAAGTCATGATAAAGCGTCATAATTTGCAATTAACACCACAACTGTGTTCTATGACTGCTACAGGTTGTCGATGCGGACTATCAAATACCGGGGCCTGAAGGCTGTGTATTGGTATGATATACTGCGACGTAGATCTTATGAAAACCTCAGAGGAATGTCATAGACACAATCAGTTTGAGTGTATTTCAAGACACTTGGAAACGCAACGGACATTTTCACTTCTAGAAACAAAGGAACCTCCGAACAAAAGGCTCGAAGGAACTGGCCGCCGAGTAGATTTGATAATCCATTGTTTCCAAATCTTTGCACAAGAACAGTAAAAGAACTTCATTGAGAGCGATGAACAAAGCCACCAGGCTTTTGGACAGCTTTCAAGAAGAATATTACTCCACTGGCGTTAATGACTCGAATAGCGGACTTGCACTGACGACTTCAGCCATATACGGATGTTCAACTACTACCTCAGGACGCTTATAGTCACCAGGAGTATCCAGTCACAGTGTGCGATACGCGCGACTCGCTAGCTCTACCAATGGCTGAACCCTGCACATTTTATGAAGCTGTAAGTGTCCTACTATGAGCCACCAGATATAGAGAACCGATTAAGTTGCATAGACCAGTGACTATCACTAGTGTACGAACACAAGTGACGTACCAAGTAAACAGAAGATAGAATCCTGTCGTAGTTATGAAGAGCTATCTATCATACACTATTCGACTGTTTGACGTCCATCTCTCTATGGTGGTTGAAACTTGACTGGCCGATCCTGGCACTTCACTACCGGGGCATAGATGAAGGCCACACATGCGGGTCCATAGAATGAGAAGGATACAGTTATCCTTAGATGTCGAGTCGAAAAGAAAGCAGCGTCTGGGAGATGCGAAGGAGATGCCAGCTTTATGCACATAGCGCAACCTTTCATGGGAAAACTACATATTCTACTGGCACATGGCATTTACTAGCTTAATTCAATTCACATGGATGAGTACGTCCCGCCTGTCATAGCGCAGACAAGCAGAGCTATTCAAGGGACCATGAGACCACGAGAGTTTTGGTTGGTTCTCAAAAGCCAGTTCGACATGGATTCGAAGTTTAATCAGACATGAACTTGATTGAGCTGTGGATGCCGGCTACTTTATCCTCCTTGAGAAGTCTGCCAACTAATCAAGGACATCAAAGACTGTGAAGTATAGCACGGACCAAGCTCTTGAGGTGATCAGTATCAAATCTGGACCAAGCCCTTATATTCAGGATTCGCGGTACTGTTAACTTATCTGTAACCATTAATCTAGATAGGAGTCCAGGTTGACCGCCTTGCAAAAAAATAGAAACGGCGGTCAACTGTGTCGCCCAATGGCTGCTAGAAGGAGGGGCAGATGACCCGTTGAGCAACCGCGGATGGAGGAAAGTCCATGCGCAGGAGTGGGCGTAGTGGGGCAAGTCAGGTGGAGACCAGCGGCATTCTGCCCAGGAAAATTGTCTCGTATCAGGATGGTCCAGGGCCAGTCACAGGCTCAGCTTGTCCCTTGCTTTTGCAGGTAATCAAGGATGTGTGTACCTCCCTTGGAGTATTTTCTATTCTTGTACGAGAGGTAGACTAATCCATACTCAAGTTGCAACTTGCAAATGACGTAGTCTCCAGGGTCAACATCCTCCGATGCTGACACTGCATGAAAGAATCTCCCATGTTTCTTTTGGTTCCTGAAAAGAGCCATGCAGGGGGTCAGGGACAAGGGATCTAGACTCACCTTAGAGGAAGAGGGTGGATTCCGCTTTCTTCTACCTTAGTATCCATCCATACTCTGTATGTAATGACGGTAATGGCAGCGGACGAACCCCGCAGCTCTTCTTTTCTTTCTGACCTGTTCTCGGGCGATTGCGGGGGCGACAATCGTTTCTGCATTCATTTGTCGATGAATGATATCAACTAAAATGGGTCCTCTGTTGCCGCTATGGAGATGAAACTGGATACTCACTCTGTTGGCAACTTGGCACCATTCGGCGCCTACAGTCGGTGAAGAGAATTCCTTCCTAGTATCCTACAAGTATTTAGTTCCCAGTACCGACTCACTTGCGAAAGAAAAAAGGATGAGGCCTGGTCTGGGAATCCCTCCCTAACCTCTGGACACAAATCTTTCGTTGGTTTCAGGTTTCTATTCTCAACATCATTAGTATCATCATTACTGTCTCCTTTCTGCAACATAACATTATTTATTGTCTTCCTGATCAACGGGCTGGTCATTCATCATGAGTCCCTTTCAATGATCATCCCGTGGTTTGCCCCTCTCTTTGATCTTCCCCTCCTTGAACCCTAATCTTATCCTACCGATTGGCTGCGTGATGCAAAAGAAGGGTATCTGATTCTTTCATATAACCTGGGGATCCAACACATTCGTCAGTGGCACTGAGACTTGTCTTCAAGTCGATGGTCTTTTGGTTCTTCGCCTCTGACTGGTGCCTTTTGACGGCAAAGCACATGTGAATCTTTGCCGTTCCATTTACCTTTGCTCTTCCCACCTGATGTTGAGGCAGCGACTAGGAGCATGGCCGCCTCGTTCACATGCCATGGCGCTACACTGCCCAGCGGCAATCCCCATATAAGCCACTCTCATCACGGAAGCCACTCGATCCATGTAGATGAAGCTCCCCTCGCTTCCTCTATCACAACCACAACTTCGACTTCCACAATAAGCCCTTCTACTACCTTCAGTCTCACTCCTGGCTATGATCAACCTGCTTCGTATCTGGCAGTCTCAACTGTGCCATCCCTCAATATCACTACAAGAGCTATCTCGCCCTGCTTAAGCGACATTTCAGAGACCAAGACCTTCTACAGCACCACCGTAGAGGTCACTGAGATACCTGCGGATACATGCGACTCGCCTACAGCGTTGGACTTGACATCGAATGACTGCGTGGACCAGATGGAAACCAGCTTGACGCATGCAGTCAGGCAACCAGAGACGGCGGCGGCGACGCCTTCAACCCCTACTTCTGATAGGCATCGCACGCCCAAAAGGAAACGAACGGTGTCACCGCCGTCCTCCGCAAAATCCCCCGACCATCATCGCTCTACTTCTCGAAGCATTCGCCGGTCCGCACCTACAAGCCGCCGCAGTTCTTTGCATTCGCACCGTCGTGCAGCAACCACTACATCGCTTACACCGTCCATCGTTGATCGAAAGGATCCAGTGGCAAAGCGTGAAGACCTTTTGGCCCTCCATCGCGAGTCCTGTCGGCTATTCCAGGACAACGAATTACAACAAGCCTGCGTGCAGGAAAGACGATCTCCCCCGGCAACCCTTCCTTATATGACATCCTGCCCACACCGAGCATCTTCTGAATTCAGTTCACCGCCAGCTTCGCCGATTGTCCACAACCGTTTCTCCACTGCGGCTCGAGAACCGGGGCTGGACACCAGCCTGAGCCCCGATCACTCGACTCATGTACCCACCGCCGATCCAAGAGCCGACAGCGCTCCAAAACAGGTGACATCGACGGTGATCGACTGGACATCACCATCTACTCGCAGGCGAGAATATGAGAAAATCGATCGAGCCAGCACCGGAGTCCGGGGATTCTGGCGACGAGTGGCGCCCCGGTGGTGCCAATTCGGGGACAATCGGATGCCGTTCTTCGAAGAAGGGAAGAACGGTAAAGGCAATTATGAGGGCAGCGTCCGGAGGTTTCGAATGGACTTGCCTGACGAGCCGGCCGATGAGACGGGAATGTCGAGATCCCGTAGAGGCCTGAAGATCAAGAAGAAGTTGATCGTCCATGGATTTGCCCCTCGGCGGAGTACGTGTTAGTCTCTGAGCTGCGTCTCGAACTTTTTCATCTTGCATGTTGCATCTTGTTTAGCGTGCTGCTGTCGCGGGCGATGTTGGTGCAGCAATGATACCACGATGATTACACTGGCCACCTGCCTGGTTCCGTGTTTCTGAAGATTTTTTGTCAACCCAGTTGATACGGGTGTAGACTTGAGATTGTGATACCCTGCCACCATGGCTTTTTCTTATCCTAGTCTTAGCATATCGAAGCATATTATGTCTGAAAATGAGTACTTTTCTAGATCACCAGTAATGTACGTAACACCCAACGCCATGCAAATGCAATCAATATATGGGTATCGATAGAAGCGTATAGCCATCCCCCAGTCAGCCAGTCGGCCAAGCAACTACAACAGCTCAAAATCGTCCAGGTTATCCCTGTAGCGCATGATATTGCGCTTGATCTTGCTGCTATCCACCCAGGTGATGTGATCCTCCATATTGCGCGTAACCAGATACGCCGGGTCCGTGACGACCTCCGGCCCACAGCGCACATGTCCCTGCTCGATGTATGTCACAGCCTACCCAGTCAGCACCTACTTTTTGTCGGTCAGAAAGGAAGAGAAGAACATACAGCCTTAATCGTCTCCACCATCCCCGTCCGCACCATCACAACCGCCAACCTCCTCCTACAAAACGCCGAAACCGTCACCTCGCGCTCCACCCGCGACAACCCCGCCCCTTGCTCGCGCGACTGCTTCAGCAGCCCCATCCGCCACAGCTTATCCAGAACCTCGGACTCGATCTTCTTGCGCACCGGGTCCGAGTCCGGGTCTAGCTGGGAGAGCTTGTGGGCGAGTTGGCGGAGGGAGCCGGCCAGCGCATTGTAGGATTTGTAGTCCGTGTCGTTTTGGAGGTGGTAGCGTTGCCGGATTTGGTGCTCGCGGTGCCCGCCGTCGGATTTGTAGTTTATGAAGTCGACCTTTCGGAGGAGTCTATATGTTTGTTAGTTAAGTTTGCTCCTGTAGTAATGGGTTGAGGGTGACGGGGGAAGGCGGACTTTTTCTCGTGGTATTTGAGTTGGCGGACCATCTTGACGATGATATGCAGGTCTTTCGAAAAAGAGGGAGTGGATTTTGGCGATTGCGATTTGAGATGAGATGGGCTTGTTCGTGGTGAGGATAAAAACTCTATGGACGAAAGGCGGTGTGACGTTCTGCTGGAGGTTTGGTGCAAACTGTGCAAACTGCACATGTGATTCTCGACCAGTGGTCGGGTTTCTGTTCCTATTCGGGTATAGTCTTTATCTGCAACAATAGACGTCGAATGCTGTTATAGCACGCCCGCAGAAGCACTGTTGATACACAAGTGTGCTACGACAATCGGGATGGCGGTGCTAGCTGATCTGGCGGTTATCTGGGCTGCCTGGCGGTTACTACATTTTCATCTCATAAACCCTGAAGGAAGGTCTGTATCTAGCAAAAGATTGCGTATCAGTTTGTGGGTGTTGACGCCGAAGCCTCAAGGCTGGAACTTCAAAGCTTCATGGACATCGTCAGCCAACTGCAAACAAGGGGATTTATGCTAGGGGTTATTGATCGTATGATGGAAAATAAAGCCAGAGAATCTAACATAACAATGCTTTCTCAGTAATGAAGGTAGGCAAACGTGTGCTATTCACATCAACAAGGCATAGGGCAAATGATATATCCAGGCCCTTAGGGATTATAAGCGATTCCCTCACAGAGCTCAAAGCTATCCCCGCGACCTGGTTCCGAAAAGACGATTTTTCTGTCGTTGTTGTCAACATTGAAGCTTGTCAAGAGGTCGCCAAACAAAAAGGTTTGAACTGTCCCAGAACCGCTCTTGTGGATCCTGATCGGCTGCAATTCACCACCGGGACCAAGCGTACTAATGACTATCTTGTCGCTGGCGATGAGAGGAATCGTCGCAGACATGACTCTGGCCTCTATAATAGTGACAACAAACCGAGTCCGCTTGTGGTCAGAAAGCCATGTCCCGTTTTGGTCCTGATACCAGTAGGAGTTCGGATAGCCCCGTCGCCGTATGAAGAAACTGTACCCAGACAACCAGTCATCGTCCACGTTGACAGCAGTCTGCTGAGCGATTACCCTCCACTGAAGCCCTGCGCGGCCGCCCATCCAGTAGATTTTGATTTTGCCAATCAAATCTTTGAGGACAGTGCCTTCGGCAGTGTTGCCGGGATCGTTTTTGCCTGAAAGAGCAAAATGCAGTGTGGCTCCAACGTCTCCATCGTCGCAGTTGATTGTCCAAAGCCTGGAAGACTGCCTGTTGAGTTCGTAGATGTTGATAACCTTCGTTTTCGCGCTGCCTAGTTTGATCTGCTTGTTCTCCAACAGGATACGGAAGAGTGTATCGGCAGTGTTTCGATCGGTGGAGGTAACAATCCAATTAAAGTCGTCGTCGTTTCCATCACCCGGTCTCTTCAAGGAGAGGTAGGTATAGTAGGCCATGGTGGTGGTTGTATACGGTTGTTTTGCAACAGTATGTAAAACTTGGATAGAATAAATAGATGAAGTGAAACTATGGCAAGATTCTTGACTGCGAGGAATGACACGAGCTGCTTCCTAGTCAGACTGACCTGCTGAACCCCAAGCAAGGTTCCTCTTGATGGTTTATATAGCCTCCCCGGTCACTGACTGTGCCTTACTATCAATTTTGCTGAGGTATAGAGTAAGGTTTGATCAATGCACTCCAGCGAGGAAGGACATAAGCTGAAGCATATTTGTTAGCCTTTCGCTTTTACTGTCCACAGCTCTGCATTATCCTCAGAGGGTAAGATTGAAACCGCGCCAGAATGTCAGCTGGATGTGGGAAAGAACCTAAGGTGAACTATACTCCCTGAGCAGTAAGCCACCAGTATCCAGGACACAAGCACCAAACTTTAAATGGTGCCAACGATACTATCTAGCCATTCCTGTGTGGTAGACCTCCTGCATAGAAGGCCAGTCCTGACATCTTGCTGTGTAACTGGGGATGGCTGCTCTTCTCTGCAGCTGAATTAGTAAGGATATTTCTCAAATAGGGATTGTACTTAGCTATTATGTTCACTGAGCATTAAGGAAAAAGCGAGCATGGTGCTGTGGCTTGCATTAGATCTGTGATGATGGGTTTATTAAGCAGATCTTAACTACTCCGCTCTCAGCTCCCTCCAGCAGCTATTCTGTTCTTTGCGCATGGTTGCCTTGCAATAAAGTAACCTGGATTATATGCTATTCACTTCAGCTCGCTTAGTAGAACTTTCACTGAGTATTAAGTAAAAGAGAAAGCATGGTGCTATGGCTTGCATTAGACCCTGTGATGAATGAGTTTAACAAGCAGATTTCTGACGCTTGACGCAATATAAAATTGGAGAAGCTATATACCAAGACAGTTTAAATGGACTAGTACCTCATCAACCAGGAGAGTATGGTTTCCTCATACCTAATGACGCACAAGAAACCCTTGAAAGATCAAAAGCCAGCTGATAAGTTCAACCAGCAACACCTTATTATGCTACAACCTGACTGCATGGTGTCCTAGTCTAATAGCTCAAGCAATCACGCTGCTAGCCTGAATTAACCGAGGGAACTTGTGTGACGCAAGTAAAGTTAAGCTTTTACGGGACAGACCCTATTTGTGATTGTCCAAGGCACTGCTTGCAGGAGCTAGAGGGTTGCTGATCCCATAGGGTAAGTAAGACAGCCCTTCTATATTCCTATGGCCAAAGAACAACGTTTCCGCGAATCAGCGCATGGGTACTTATAGTAGGATGCACCATATCGCACAATACGAGGTAGTAAGGCAACCAGAGTCCTGGCCAGACACGTTAATCAACCTGACTGCAAGAGTGGTAAAGTAACCTCAGGTAGCTGACATTTGTCTGTGACAGGCACATACATGTGACATGTCATGTTTACAACATGAGATTGAGGCATTTATGCACGAGACCAACTTTATTCGATCTCAGCCAGCCACGGTAGATTAGACCCTTGATATTGTAAGTCCAAGGGTAGTGAATGGCGCAGTCAACCGGTTCAAGGGCCGTCCTCGCAGCAGGATCGGGAGCGTGAGGAGTTCGTCGTCAGTGGGAGGCTTTTTGGATTGAAAGTGCTGGTGAGAATGCTGTCTAGTTGACAGGCATAGGTCTAGAGCCTCCACACTTGCGTGGGCGCCGCTACTGACTTATTGTCTTGAAGCTGCTTTGTCTCGTTTTATAGGCTCGCGTGCGGTTTCTGAGTCCCCTGTTGCACCGAGAACGTCAGGACGGAGCTGGCGGAGACCATGGGGACTGTGATCTTTGGTTCGTACAGGGGCAGCTAGCCATCAAGCATTAAATACTATCGCTAGGCTGTTTGGATACTTTTTATCTCATTCCCGTCTAGTCTATCAGATGTACAGAAATGAACATGATTATAATTCATCTTTGCCCTCTGAAGGCATAGGCCGGCCACTGTCCTTGCCGAGATCGACCCCGTTCTTCTTGCGCCATTTCTCCCACATGGCCCAGAATTCTTTCTCCATCCCGCTCTCCATCTGGTCCGGCAGGATGACGGTGTACTCGACGTACAGATCGCCCGGCTCCGAATCGTGGTCGTGGTGCTCGTGCAAATGGCCCTCGGAGTAGAACGGCATGCCCTCGCCCTTGACCGTCTCGACGGAAAGCGGCTGGACAATCTCGCCGCGCTTGCGGCCCAGCTGCACGACATGCCCATCCAGATGCGTGATATTGCGCGTCCAATCGCCCATCCACGCCTCCCGCAGCGAGAGCACCTCCCTCCAGAACAGGTGCCTGCCCTTGCGCCGGAAGAACGTGCCGTCGGTGCGGCGCTCCTCCTCGGCCGCCAGCTCGGGCTCCTTCTCCTCCAGCACCAGGACCAGATCGCCCGCCACCCAGTCCGGGCTCTCGTCGCCCTCGTTCTCAAACACCAGCCGCGTCCCCGCGCCCATGCCCGGCTCCACCGTCGCAACCGTCTCCACCTCGCGCCGCACAACCCGCTGCCCCGCACACACGGGACACGGCTTCTTGATCGTCTTGCCCTGGCCGTGGCACGCGTCGCACGGCATCTGCACCTGCTGGTACATCCCCGGCGCAAGCATGTGCTTCTGGATTATCCTTCCCCGCCCACTGCACTTGGGGCACGTCACCACCTGCCGGTCCTCCGACCCCGTCCCCTCGCACGCATCGCAGATCTGCTGCTTCTCAATCCCGAACCGGATCTCCCGCCCCGTGTAGAAATCCTGCAGCGGCAGCCCCACCAGCATCTCCATGTTTGGTCCGCGCCGATGGCCCGGCGCATGCCCAAAGTGGCCCCCGCCGCCGAAAAACCGCGAGAACAGATCAAAGGGGTCGTTCGCGGGGCGTCCTGCCGTCCCGCCCTGCCGGTGCTGCTCGATTCCCTCGTGTCCGTACTGATCGTAGATTTTCCGCGTGGCAGGCGTGGAGAGGACATCGTAGGCGTCTGCGATTTCGACGAATTTCTCCCGCGCCGTCTCGTCGCCTCTGTCCGTACAGTTTAGCTTCTCCCCGTTCCTCTCTCTCACTAGAGCCTTGGAGTGGTAAAGACTTACGGGTTCTTGTCCGGATGGAACTTCTTGCTTAGCGTCCGGTACGCGCGCTTGATATCCCGCTCCGAGGCGGAGCGGTCCAGCCCCAGGATCTTATAGTAATCCTCCTTGGCCAGCGCCAGGACCAGACAGAAGGCGATCGCGAGCAGGATTGTAATCAGACGCATTGTGATGATTGGTGGGCAAGCTGCATCACAGCCGCGCTTACACGTAGCAATTGGTCAACGATGTCTCAATGGTCAGTGCCAAGGTAGTATGTTTTGTATTTCTGAAGCAGAGGTATAGCTTGTGAAGTAAGACTAGACTTTGTCTGTGACGTTGTGTTGATTGGAATGGCCCTGGAAGGCCTAAGGAAAGTCTCGAGATCAGCAAAGAACTCGAGATGGAGTTGGTGCTGGAGGTGATTGTTTTGCGCTTGCCCTGAACGTATTGCGCGGTATTTGGTCGGCCGCTGATAAAGTCCGCGTTGATAGAGAGGTAGTAGCTTTTGATTAGGTGGCCGCAACGTGGAGGAAAATGGTTTGTCCGGTCACGTGGCGGGCATTTGCCTGGTTATTGAGGTATCCATAGATTGTGAATGTCGACTGTAAGGATAGAGTGATCAGATAGGATAAATTAACTAGATTAAAAGTATAGTGCAAAAGAGGCTGGTTGGACTGTTGTATCAGATGAACAGTGGAACAAAGAATAGCACAGTCATTCGTAACTCATACAACCAGTGACAAAGTCAAATTCAACACTAAGTACTTCCCCAAGACCGACCAACAACATCGAAAATCTCATTCCGCCATGTCCGTCCAAGACCCTGGCTCTGATCTCCCTCCTCGATGGCCTCTTGAGCCCGCAATCCCTCCTCCCGCCACACCTTCACAATACTGCCAGGCGCATAGACGTCCTTGAAGACACCGCTGCTTGGGGCGTCGAAGCCGACCCGGGTTTCGACGTCCGTCTCTGGCAGCTTCAACCGGGCCAGTACGGCCCGGACAAAGGTCGCCAGGTCCTGCGGATTGGCAATGCGAGCGGCCCGAAGTCGTTCTCGGGCGAATATCAGCTCCCGGTTGAGGGCAAACGCCGCCTGGACAATGGACTCGGCAATCTTCTTCTCCAGCACGCGGCGCACAAGATGCTTCAGGAAGGGCTTGGTCAGCCACAGGAGGAATTTCCATTTGCTCTTGTGTATTTTGTAGTCGAGCTTGTGGATTCGAACCCGCACGCCGCGAAGGGTAAATATCTGCTCCAGGCGCTCCCGACCCACTTCGACATCGAGCGAGATGTCAATGCCCCGTCTGTCGAGATAGAAGCTGGCAATGCCTTCGTCTTTGATGCGGAACAACGGCCATGCATGAGTGCGGATCCAGTAGCCAAACTCGGATGCACTGATGTTGAGGCCAAAGACCGTCGCGGTAAATGTGGTTTTGAGGTCAGTCGAAGTTCTCTTTGAATGCTTCTTCAGAACGTCAATGTCGTTACGCGTGGTGAGGTGCATACGGTAGGGTAGGAACGACGAGAAATTGACCGTGTGACCGGGCTCAAGGATCAGGTTCTCAATCAACAGATCCATTTCTGGCGCGGAGATCTCCAGCCGCGGGATTGGGATATATTGGATACTGCGAATGATAAGCGGCAAGAAGATTTCTGCCATGTCTGATGGCAGCTGGCTTTTTCGATCTTGGTAGCCGTTCCATGCATCCCTGTAGATCTTGCGAGTCACGTCAACAAGTTTCGAAACCTGAGTATCCTCAGGAACAGTCCGCAGTGTGCTCTTCGCCTGAGCTAGGAAGGCGTCCACGTCCCGACGCAGGGTAGTTTCGGTGCCGACATTCTTCGACTTCTCCTTCAACTCGTCTACTTTTTGAGGAGCCTTGTCAAAGAACTTGGGGTCCGTCAGCATTTCCTGGAGCGCGGT